CCTGATAGGTTTCTGTGCATATTTTGACCAAACTGCCCAAGTTCTTCCACAGCGGTTGTACCGGTTATGTTAGACAATCAATTGGTCCCCTCAGCTTCTAACGTTCCCGTCCAGGATCAGTTGCTAGCCATCATATTAAATCCCCAGCCAGGAAGTGTGGAGAAGTCACTGGAGTTGTTCTGGAATGGGGCTCAGACTACCAACTTCTGTTCCCTGGGGAACCTGGGACATAATCTGGGAGGGGAAGTTGTAGTCATGGGTGGGCATACTCCGTTAGCTGGAAGACTTGGGTTTTCCCCTCCGCGGAGGACATACGGAGCCCTCTCAGGTATGGAGTTCTGGACAGCAGCTGCTCTTGTCAGATCTAAGGACAGTGCTGTTCCTCTATGAATATCTAAGTTATTGACATTCCAACCATCTTTCAAAATGCATCTCACATTGACTCACCTATTATACCTCATTGTGGCAGTTTGGGGAATCTCCTTACTCTCAATGGTATGCTATTTCTCTGTTTGCATGCCTCAGTTTCCTAATTTGTCTATGTGTTTTATTTTTTATTGTAACTTAGATGGGCATTTATATTTCAGATCATCAATTTTGCATTCAATAGACCAAACCACAAATCCAGTAGTCCACCCCCTACCTGTTCCACCCCCAACTTCCCCCCGTGGACCATAATCCTCCACTACATTCACGTCAACCCCTCAACAGCAGCCCCCACTTCTCCCTGAACCCGTGGGCAACCTCCAAAGCCCATTCAGTTTGGTATGAGTGCCTTTTGAATCTAACACTGTCACTTTTTCCTCGATACATACGAAAAGCATGTACCATGTTCACAATAGCTGTTAAAACACGTGCAGTGCGGGATTAAAGTGGCTGCATGATGCTAGAGAAAATCCCCAGCCTTCTTTTACATGTACACACACGGAGCCTATTAATCCCTGTAGCTCTGTTCTGTCGTCCGTGCTATGTGCTCTTCGTCCGTGGGAAGCCCACTATGACTTCAGCTTCCTCTGTGCTTACATTTGTTGTATTACTCCACTATTCTTCTTGGTTTGTTCATCCCACCTGTTTCTTTGTCTTTTAGGGTTATACCCTCAGCAACTACCTGAAGTAAATGTAAGCAACACAGGAGAAAGAGGAGGCTCTCTGCTCCCATAAAAACGTACAGCGTTGGCAGCCCCAAAGGCCAGTCTGTCCTGTTGTGTAGAGCTGCTGTGAGGCAGAACGGACTCCGTGGCAGAGAGGTTTTTTGGGTCTGAGACATATGGAGTTATATACTCTTTTTTTTCTCTCTCTATTTTCCCAGGCTTGCCTTGTCTGTCATAAGTGACTGCAGACCTTGGCCATAAACGTTCCCCGAGGGAGCTGGGCCTTGATGTATTTGTATATGCTGGTGCTTCCTGGAATGCTCTGTCTTTCTTTGCCATCTGGACAGCATCTTAGGTTCTTCTTCAAAACTCAACAGCAGTATCGTATTTCCCTAGAAACCTTCCCGTCTCCTCCTACATTAAAATTCCTTCCTTTATACTCTGTAAACCTCTCATGGTACGTAAGAGTCTGCTACCACAATCATTTATTGTCTGTTATGCTCTTTGCTGTCCCCGGGTGGGGCAAACAGTGGACATAATCAGCTGCTAACGGAAGCCCACCCATAGGTGCCTTGGAAGAAAAGCCTGGCAGTCTCCTTCTGAAAACTCAGCCGGTGAAAACCCCATGGAGCCCAGTTCTGCCCTCACACGGACTGGGCTGGCACGAGTCAGCATGGACCCGGCAGCATGCGGTCTGGTCTGCTCTTGAGACTGTCAGCTGTGAAAGTGGTGACTTTGTGTTCTAGTATCCAGCATAGTGCTGGCCCCAGGCAATGCTGAAATAGAATTGCCAGCCAATCAAATGATTGAATGAGTGGACCGCCCCTTCGGGTGAGGGGGGACACCCCCCAAAATTGAATTTTTTTCCAAAGCTATGTATTTAAATTTTTTTTACCAAACAACCTATCACCTTCAAAGTACTCGCCATCACACTTAATACATTTGTCAACTCTGTGATTCCATTCTTGGAAACATTCTTCAAACTCAGCAGTTTGGATGGCTGGCAGCACCTCCCTCACTTTTTTCTTCACCTCTTCTGTGTTGTCAAATCTCTGTCCTTTCATGTCCCTCTTCATTCTAGGAAACAAAAAAGTTGCACAGAGCCAGGTCAGGTGAGTAAGGTAGGTGGAGCAAGAGTGGCATGTTGTTTTTGCCAAAATTGGTACTCTGAGATGGCTGTGTGAGCAGGTGCATTGTCGTGGTTGCAAAACCAGTCTCCCCTCTGCTACAAATCAGACCTTTTTTGTCATGCACTGTTACACAACCTTTTCAGAACCTCTAAATAGAAAGCTTGATTAGTAGTCTGACCTGGTGGGACAAACCCCAAATGCACCACAAGTTGACATTTTCATCCGTTCAGGAAGTTAGCAGACGTCCAGGACGAGGTTTGTCATCAATTGACATTTCAGTTTTTTGAAATGAGAAAGCCATTCATACACTTGAGTTTTTCCCATAGGGCTGTCTTTGAAAGCTTGTTCAACATCATAAGTTTCAGAGGCATTTTCCCCAGCAGGAATCAAAATTTCACAGCCGCATGCTGTTCTCTTAAATCGACCATCACAAAAAATGAGGTTCAAGCAAAACTGCTTTTACGGGGGGAAAAAATCACTGTGAGCAGAGAGAACCTTCCTAGCTGTGCCACTGGGTGCACCAACTCAGAGCAAGCCGCACAGTACTCGCCCAGCAGGAAACATGTGTACTATGAAAGCTCTGCCCAGCGGAGCTTTTCTCTGGTTTTGGGGGGGTACCCCCTCATATTTCCCAATTTTTGTTCCCAACTCTTTCTTAATATTTTCCTCCCTTTTACTTTTGTTGATACACTTTTTCCACTGTGACTAAACTGAAAGATTATGGAAATAATAGAAGCTTTTTGGCCTGCGATTTGATGTTGAACAGTAGCTTTTGAGCTTTAACAAACAGCCTAAAGCAGTTTAAACATTTGTGAGTAGGTGCGGCAATGCAAGAAAGATGCCATTGCTTACGAGAGTAAGTACATCAATGAGGGTAGTATTCTTTGTTCAGGCAACACAGACCATGTTCCATCACACTGAGATGGTAGAGGTCTCTACAGGTCTGATAAGGAAACCAAAGATAAAAACACCGTTCAAACACTTCTAAGTTTGCTTTAGCTTAGCTGCTTTAGAGAGGCATGATGAACTAAGAAGAAGAAAAGTCCTGGTGTACTGGCCAGGAATAGGTGTTCACCCTCACCAGCAGCTCTCTGGCAGAAAAGCTGTCTGCTCCCATAAAGACAGTGTTGGGAAACAACTATGTAGGGTCACTTGGAGTCAGGATCAACTTGATGGCAGTGAGTTTGGTTTGGTTTAATTAATAGGAATCTCTAATCCCCATCCTTATTTCCAAGCAAAGTGTCCAAAGACCTTTGTTTCCCTGAAATCAATCTCAGGAGTGCAGCTAGGAATTAAGGAATAGAACCAAATGGTGTGCTCCCATCACTAACTGTGCAGATCCTGTCTTCAGATCACAGTACATTCATTCCTCTCGTTGCCCTTCTGCCACTTACCTTTGCAATGAGAGTGAGAAACTGTTGGTGTCCTGACCGGACCCCAGGTCTTCAGTATCAAGCATCTCTTTCATGAACTTCCTGAGGATCATTGTACTCAGCTAACCTTGTAGCCAGAGACCCCACACCTCAGGCCCAAAGAGCCGCATCAGGACCCTTTCCTGGGAACACAGAACTGTTCTGACGTCATCTCTGCTGGGCAAGGTGCCCAGGCCTGGATCCCACGGGCTCGTGTGGCAGGAGTGCAGATCACCGCAGCAGGCGATTCTGAGCAACATCATAAGAGATCAGCATGAGTAGGAGCTGAACCAAGAGGAAGCAGCCAAGTTACTGACTTGTAAACTCTTAACAATTTCCCCTTCCCAGCCTGAATGAAATGACATTAATTAATCTGGCACATCCAAGGGACATTCTTTTTTACAATATTAAATCATTGTTCATGTATAAAAATGTTTAGAAAACAAAACATAAAGGTAATAGGGGAAAAACTAAAGCAGTGATCAGTTTATTTACGTGACAACTCCAAAGTCCGAACATATTGCCTTCGAGTTGATTCCGACTCACGATAAGACGGAGCAGAACTGCCCCTGTGGGTTTCTGAGACTGTAACTCTTAATAGGAATAGAAGCTTATGCTTCCCCCGTTTACTCGAAGTCCTCTTTAAAGCTTCAGACTGAGCTTCACAAGATGCCGTCTGCTGAACTGTCATTTGAAAATTGTATTTACACCCTAAAGGTGTAGACTTTCCCTAGTGCTCTTAAGGCCCAGTGGCAATTTCCCCTCTGTGTTCTTGGGGTGCTGGTCTGTGCCAGCATCCACGGGGAAGCGGGTCACTGTTTATTTGTGAAGAAACGTCTTGGAAGCCAGATCACTGTGTTGAAGGATTGCTGTTTGAAGCAGTGCATCCCAGAGGTGTGACTGTGCAAAGAGAGATGCTAAGCCTGGTCAGCATATTTGGGGTTTCCCATGTTTTGTTTGGAAGTTGAGGTTTTCATGACAATTTAATTTCCAAGAGAATAGCCAGTTGCAGGCACAATGCACAATAAGCACACATTGCAACATCCTTGACAGACACTGTATGCTTTTTGCAACATTCAAAGACTTCTCTTCTGATATACAAGCTATCGGTAGTTCTTTTGTGATAAAAATGGACTCTTTACAGTAGTAGTTTTCCCAGGACACCAGATCCATTGGTTGTTTGCATGTGTACACAAGGTTGCTTGCGTGTGTACAGTCTCCCTTTGTGTCTTCTCACGTCGGCCTGGAGATAGGATATCCTGGTTATGTGGAACCTAGAGTCCTTTTGTTCCTGGAACGTCCCCCCTCAGAAGGGGGCTCTTTGATGGACAAAGACAGTCTAGATTACTCCTTTCTTCTCTTGGAGAATGAGGACGAGGAAGAGTGAGATGCAGCTTCCACCCGACGTGTGGAAGCTGAAGCTCATTTTGATGGTAGCAACAAGCATCCATACATAGGGTTGGAAGTTGAAGAAACTGTCAGTGTTGCAGAAGAAAGGGTTGATCCAGGTGATGATGCCTGTGAACGATGCAAAGATGTCTCCTAGTTGGAAAATATTATGAACTTGCTTCAGCAAGATGCCAGAGTTTGCCCTGGCTTGACTCACGATGATACCGCGGACATAGATTATTTTTCATCCCTGCTTACAGAAGAGATTTTGGAAATTTTAAGGGACTACACTAATCTTGTGTCACCCTGGAGTGCACATGACAATGTAGAGGTTGCGAGATTAAAATGCCCAGTAAAACCTGGCAGCTATCACCCCAGAGGAGGCAGAGGCTTCCCTGCTGTACATTTACTGCTGGATGTTGTGGGAGCTCAGACATTATTGGTCCAGTGAATGCACCCTCTTGGATGATATTTCTATTGCAGAACTTATAACTAAGATAAGATTCAAGACACTGACCAAAAATATACACTGCAATGACAATTCACAAGTCACATACAAAGAGAACCTAGCTATGACTAGCTTCACAAATTGCACCCCATTACCAGTGCTCCCAATAGCCAGTGCAGACAGTCACATGTATGTCTGCTAAGTGTCGTGGCAGCTGATGAGCCCATTAAAGGGCTACTCACCAGGAAAACAGCATATGCCAATGAAAGGCATCAAGTGTAGGTCAAAGGTTTGGTGCCTGGCCAGCTCACCGACAGTTCTGTAAATCAATTTGATCTCTAATCCAGGGAGGAAAAAAACAAAACAGCAGATGACTCACTGCCCTCCCTTCGTGAACTGGCGTCCCTGCAGCCTTCGGCAGTGTTTCTCCTGGACCGCCTGGTGAAAAGCATGAATGGGAGGGTACTGTGTGCTATAGGTGTAATGCAAGCAAATAGACAGGATGTACTAGAAATGGTGAAGAAAACCGAATAAGCCCCTTGGCATGGAGTCCATTCTGACTCCTAAGGTAAATTACAGCACGGAGGCTTTGTGCTTCCTGGGCAGGATGTGTGTCGGCAGCACAGTGACAGGAAAATAAACTTTTGACAATAAACAATAAACTTTGTCAGCATTCCCCAATCCAGAGGACATACTGGTGTCCAAAGAGAGAAGATGCTTCCTGGCCGGTAATCTCTGGCCCAAGGGCAATAGCCAAATGCAAGCAGTATGTGGTGGGGAGTGGACTGCTTTGATCAGAGGTGAAATCCGGACAAAACTGAAACCGGACAGTGCATTCTCAAATGGGGGCATCCAATGCTGTGTTTCCTTATTGACCTTGGCATTGTAAATTGTGTCATGGACTAACGGGCAGCTATGTCCAGCTTCCCGGGAGCTTGCTCTCATTCTGCAGCCGACTGTGGGCCAAGAAATCCAAACAATAGCAAACCCCTCCTTACTTGCGAGAAACAAGCCAGGAGTAAGTAGCGAGTCAAAAGACATCCGGCTGCTTTAGGTTGGATAACATTTACCTGTGGAGGGATCTAGATGGTGTTGCAGAGAATGCAGCACTAGGGAGATGCCAGCAGTTATGTGCAGCCATCACAGGGTGCCTTTATGTATGGCCCCATGATTTCCAAAAGTGTCACGCAATAAAATAAAGTTGCTTTTTCTTCCCTCATTCCCTCTATTCTGCCTACAGAGTCTAGTGGGACATAGATGCCCCGTGTATTTTTTAAAAAATTATCTCATCTAACAAAATCTTAGCATGGCTGAATGATTCAGCATGCATTCTATTACTGAAAACCCTCATACCACCCAAATCTAACCAACATAAGTTGGTCACAAGAGGGATAAATCACACACATACACACACACACTTTATGTCCTAAGGATTGAAACTTTTTCTGTTGCTTCCACAAAGCTGCTGTTAATTGGAGGATTAGAAGTTGCTTATAGAACCAGGCTTTTCCCTACGCATTTTAGAGGTTTATGGAATTAGGTCAATAACCCTTCCATGTTTAAATGCATTGAGCCAGTTTTCCAGGACTCTTCTTGTGTACGGAAGAGGAGGAGACATTGTTTCCTTTCAAACCCTCCCAAGCTGTGAGCCGTGAGGCTGCGTATTTGCTGTCAGAGTCCTTGGAAGCAAGGACATGGGACGAGACTTGGAAGCTGCCACTTGCTGGTGTTGCTTCCTTTTGAGAGTTTTCACACACACACAATCGCTAAAATAATTTTTTCCTTTTATCTTTCAAGGAGCATCTAAAGACTATTGATAAGGAAACCAACGCCTTCTTGGACTATATGTTTGGCCCTCGAGGTGAGTGAGGTGGAACAAGCACAAAGAAGAATGCCATTTGATTTTAGAAAAGCCTAATGTAAGTTCCAAGGTCTTGGAAAGGACATTGGTGTGTTAGCACTTTGAAGGCTAGGTTCCCTCCTCTGTGGGTTCTTCTCCCAGAACACACAGGAGCCCCTATTTCTCCCACTCAGCCTCCTCTTGGATTTAGGGAGCCTGCCCCAGGAAGTAGGGGCGGAGTGAAATACAGTTTCTCTGGTGTGTCTCTGACTATCAAAGGCAAAACTGTAGCTCGCCTTCTAAACCAGGGGTTCTCAACCTTCCTAATGCCATGAGTCTTTAATACAGTTCCTCATGTTGTGGTGACCCCCAACCATAAAATTATTTTCGTTGCTTCTTCCTAACTGCAATTTTGCTACTGTTATGAATCGGGTGACCCCTGTAAAAGGGTTGTCCCACCCCCCAAAGGGGTCGCGACCCACAGGTTGAGAACCAATGTTGTAAACTCTTCTTCGCCTTTCTCTCTCCACCACCGTTCACCTGTCTTCCTCATCACCACAGTCACACACATGCCCTTCCTTACACAGATAAAAGCCCATTGCAGGTGGGTGAGCCTTCTCAGCCGGGGCCCTGAGGCTGGTTTAGGAGCTGCTCACTCATTCCTCCATCACCAGTCCCGAGCCTGCTGCAGATGCTCCTCACTGCTTGTCTCTCTTCTCATCAGGTAGCCACTGTCAGGCAAAATAACACCCTAAAACCTAACTCTGGGTGGCCCTCTGCTTTCTTTTTTTCTCGCTTTTTTTTCCCAAATAATGTTTTTGACATATCTTGCTCATTCTGATATATCCCTTCCCTTCCCATACAGTTCTGTTGTTCAATCCCATCGGGGCTGTACAATCATCAGTGCTAGCAACGCCCCTCTCCCCCACCTTCCTCCCCTGGAAGCCTGCTTTAAAACTCTCTTGTGCTGTCCCCCCCCCTTGTGATTCCCTGCACGATACAGTACAGGTATCAGTGTAAACCGTACCTGCTGAGATAGGATGTCCCTGGTATCCTATCTAAATAGGACCCCCTTTTTCTATTTCAATTTCTCTGTACTTTCTTCGTATCCTTGATTGTTATTATTATCTTTTCTGAGAGGGCAAGAGCAACGACTATTATGCTCATCAGCTCATCATTTTTATCTGGTCATCATTTTATCACAGTTCCAGGAACATATTACATTTAAAAATTTTTTCATTTAAAAGCCAGTTGCCCATAACTTGACCCTGCTTCCTGGCCACCTCCTGTGTGGTGGGGTAGAATGGTGTCCCATATTTTCAAATGGCTTGGTTTGGGGATCTGGATGGCCAGGTCTTTCTTCAGAGGCCCCCACGGGTGGACTTTCACCTCCAACTTTTAGTTAGCAGCCAAGGTTTTAACCATTTGTACCACCCAGGAACTCCAGGGACATATTAAGCACCATGTATTGTACAAATGAGTGAATTCTGGACAGCATGTCTCATTTTCCTCGAGCCTCGCTGGTCCACTCACTCACAATCACTGCTGTGGAGTTGATTCCGACCTCTGGTGACCCTATAGGACAGGGTCGAACTGCCCCCTATGGCTTTCTAAGACTGTAACGCTTTACAGGAGTTAGAAAGCCTCCTCTTTCTCCCGCAGAGTAGCTGGTGCTTTTGAGCTGCTGACCTTGTGGTTAGCAGTCCAACTTGTAACCACTGGGCCACCAATGCTCCTCATTGTTCACAACACTGGAAAGTTCAAATTGTCTTTAGGTTGTTTGCTCAGCACTATCAGGTGGCGGGTAAATAGTAGTGCTTCTTCTTTCTCAGAATCATTCAGCAGACTCACTTAGAGACTTGGGGATCATTTAAACCGTTCTCCAGGTTCTATTTTAAGGGAATGACTTTTTAAAAATTATTTTATTGGGGGCTCGTACAATTCTCATCACAATCCATACATACTCTCATCGCAATCCATACATACTGGAATGACTTTTTGTATATAGCTCAGTATTATGTAATGATGCTCAGTAAATGTAGAGTTCTTCATTCTTCCTTTTTAAAAATATCTTCACATGGTTTATTGTCTTTCATTTTATCTTCATGCTAATTCTGGAAATTAGGCCAAGCACAGTCTCTTTAATATTTTATTCTGTAATGTTTACTCTGTGGTTGTAGTGGGTAGGAAGGAGGTGGGCTCGGGTTAGAGGGCATCCCCGCTGACTTAGGCATGCAGGATGCAGGCAGGAACTGACGTGTCTCTGAATGCACCTGTGCATTTTACACTGCACGGTCCAGAGTTACACGAGCGGCTCTTGGAGCCAGGTTCCAAGCGCATGCAGGGTCAGGAGTCATGCAGCTGTGGGGTAGGGCTAGGGCTGCCATTGCTTATCAGCTGGCCGTTTGTTGCGGAGCTTTCCTTGTAGCAAAAAGATTGTAAAATTGACCACTGACCAAATCAGATGACCTCCTCGGTGACAGGATGTCTGATATCCAGGCCACCAAAAATCCCTTTCCCTTTTCTAAAAACGACAAGAGGACAAGTAGGCTGACAAGCCACCTGCCAAACTTCTAGTTGTTCCCTAGTGTTTTCAGACTTTTCCTATGTGATATTTGTACCATCAAGGGATAGTGTTCTGGGCACATACAGAGCTAACAATTTTCAAATCTGAAAGATAACAAGTGTCGGTACCAGTATTTATTCCCACAGTTTGGTTGGGACAAGTCTGATGGTCTTTGACAGCTACAACAAGC